AGAGAGAAGTCAATAAGTAACCTGTATATATTATGTCTGAAGTCATTGTACGACGAGTACATGACAACACCACCGAAGCAGACCGACAGTGAAAAGAAACACTGTGTAACAGCCGCGTACCAGACGTGTGCATCGAATAGCTTCTCCCAGTTTGGTTTTATGAAGAAAATAATCCCGTTCACGGCACCTTCCAGAGTAACCGCTCTGACCAGCAAGCTTATCATGATGATGTAAGGAAAGATGGCGAGGAAATAGGCCGCTTTCCCTGAACTCTTTACGCCACGTGCCAAGACAGCGAATATACAGGCCCATGCGACAAACAGGCAAATCGTCAGACTCCAGTGGGGCAGTCCAATACCGTCATCGATACTCTGCTTTTCTCTCAGCACGATTTTTCTGACGACAGAGAAGGAATGGATTTATTTATCTTTCTTTTCTCTTCCTTTTACTTTTTCAATTTATAATTCTGTAACTTCACAGTTAGAGACATCAAGGCTTCATATATTAGATTACATTTGCAATTGGACATCTATGGATTTAAATATAGTTTAAAAAGTAGTTCAAAGTATTCCAGATACCCTGACTGTACATCAAATTCACAAATATTTTAATTCCTAAATATTCCAAGTACTCTTGACTTGTTTAATTTAACATCCAAATGTTCCAGTGCTCATGATATTTCATATTGCTAATTCCTAAACATATCAAAATCCCAAATTTTATCCAACTATTGATAACGATGATGAAGGTTAAACTGCGAAAAAGTTTTACCTGAAGTAAAGCTCAGCCGAGCTTATACTCATGTTGGTGCTGTTTTGTTTGCTAATGTTGTAAGAGCCTCCTGAATCGACGCAAGAATTTCCCCATTCTTGCAAACATGTGGACCAAGGGAGCGGCGATTGAAAACTTGCAATCAGGTAGTAAAGTGTTATCGACATCAGGAAACAGTAGTATGTCCCTACCGAGAGCATGGAGAACATTTGTGCCCAACCAACTCCTCGGAATCCAGGCACTGCAAAATTCAACAGACAAAATTATAAATAGATTAGCGCCAACAACAAGTTTTAGAATTACTAAATCCGTGTAATTAGAATTGAATGGTATAGCTTCAAAGAGTCACAATTGCTATAATTAATCTCTAAAGCAAGTCTAATTTTTGAATAGACAAGTGCTTATCAATGGACTGTAGATGGAGAATTGATTTCTTTATCGATAGCGATTGATGTGTCGTAAAAGTATAAGGAATTCCGGATCGGTGCACTCGAATAGAAACAATGATTTACGATGTATAACTTAAGCCATGATTTAAACCTGCTGTATATACCGGTATATAACGATTCAGATAGCGAACGACTTCAACTTGCGAGAACCGGTCTTGAATCTCGCCACTTCCTGCTCAAACTTTGACATTCATGGCTCATCGCGACATTGTGTCGCAATTGTAAAACGGCTACTTTCAAGATTGAATCCTTTCCCCCAGGTTATAGGGGCACAGGGGAACTTTCGTTCTATTTATCTATATAATTATACCCATTGTTATCAATAGAAACGTATTTTTCGTGGAGAAGGTATAACCTACTGAAATGTAATATGTACACATACGTTTCAAACAAACGTAACAAGCACATTCCAAGATTCCAATGTTTTTAAATATGATACTGATTGTTTCACTATATATGTTGTTACTACTTATTGTTTTACTATACTATATACGTTTTACACACACACATATATGCATACACATTATTATACTATATAATTATATATATTATACATATATATGTTATATTATAATTGTATATATTTACACATATATATATATATGTGTTATATCATAATTGTATGTACATATTGTACATACATATATATGTTGTTATAATAATTGTGTATATTATAACGATATTATACATACATATAAATGTTGTTATCGTTTTACTACACTATATATATTTTTAAAAGGAGCATGGCACACCTGCTGACCACATTTTCACCGATGATCTACTGCAGAATTGGCCCATGATCATCTCCAAGTAATAAAACGGTTTGCCAACAAGAAACAGGACGATGATGTAAGGTATTAGAAATACGCCGCCGCCATTCTCGTAGGCCGTGAATGGAAATCGCCAAACATTGCCAAGGCCTATGGACATGGCTATGCAGGACATCAAGAATTCCAGACTGTTGCCCCAAGTATCCCTCTCCGTTTGATTTCCCGCGACAGTCTAGGAAAATTTGAAAAGGCAAGGCTCGTTTTTTTTCTTTCTTTCTTTCTTTCTCTCAGAAATGAAAGAATTTCGACGATTCTAGCGAAACTTACTGCTCCCTGCGAGAGCGACAAGGACAGTGGGATTTTCCGATCGTGCTGAGTCCCGTAAGGAAAGTCGAAGGAGGAGCTGTTGTCTGGGAACTGAAATCAGAATATTTTCGTCCTTAAGATCCCGAAACGCACCAGAATTTAATTATTTGATACTCATTTACCTTTCCATCGTCACCTGTTGCGTGACGTTGAGAATTAATAGTCGCGTGGCCATCATCTCCAAGGAAAGCAGCATTTTGTCGTCCCTGCTACGAAGAAACGATTACATGACTGTGGCTATATATAATAGCTCTTTAATGCCAATAGAAAAATTTTATATAACGTCTCATTCGATTATTTCCCAAACGAATTACGTATGATTATACTGTAAAATGTACCGTGTGGTCATTAAGTAAGTACGTAGCTCGAAAGAATCATGAGGAAACGAAGGGACTAATACTATCTTTGCACCAGGGCATTCCTAATTTACTTTACAAGGACACTTTCCATAGTTTGTAACACTACACACGAGTTACGGATTTCTAGCTGCGTACAGAGTGAACTAAATTGCCATTACCTTTCACATAACGCAGTTACTTCAAGACAAGACAACATCGTCTGGAAATCTTTCCTTCTAATAGCATGATGACTGTAATAGAGTCTTCTTTGAATATTCGAACATTACACTAGTAACCGATGATTTTTACTAGCAGATACTTTACTTCTGGTAACACAACGTTCAGACACTAAGATATTTAGTGTAACTAAATTTATTTAGTGTAACATTTTACAGAGAATCAAGAAGATTATTTAAGTTGTGCTAAACCAGATAAACACCTGTGTGAGTACAAAAAAAAAAAAAAGAATTCCTCTAGCAATAAATAAAAAGTTAGTGCCTTTAATTTTTCATAGTTAGCACAGCCAAGATCGTAGAAGTGTCAACTTCAAAGTGCTTCGTTTATCACTTCAACTGGTCGATTACGAGGGAATCATGGATCATTTATCATATACTGATAAACATTAATTGTCGGACCTGCATACCTTGGCAACGCTCGATTATCATACCAACATACGCAACGTATTTTGTGTTCGAGAATATCGATGAATCGTCGTACGATGTTTCGAAACGTTTCCCAAACGTGAGAATACGGAAACGATTCTTCGAGGCGATCGATACGAATTAACATGACGCAATTACGGTTGCACATTGCGTATATCGTGTCTTATGATCTGTAATAACAACGAGAAAAGGAATATCGTAATCGTAGCGTGGCGATTCGGTTTCTAACTGTGTTGTTGCCTCACATCTGTCCCTGGAAGGCATGAGTGGGAGAATTACACACGAATGATGATTGGCGGAAAACTTTTTTTTTTACTCTTGGTTAATATCGCTTCACTTCATCGAATATTATATAAATGTTTCTGTATTCACGATTGATAAAATGTCAATTTTATTTTTGTTTTTTTTTTTACAGTTCTGCGAGCAGTAGAAAAACTGCCTAATGAAAATTGTATTACATTGAATCAAATGTAAAATGTCAAACATGGACAGAATATCATTTTTTTCTAGGTGAGTGAGAAAGTACTGTTTTATCTTGAATAAATCCAACAGGAGGCTCATTATTTTCTTTTCTGCATTTGTTTCTCAGGAAACAGCCTGCCCGAATGAGCTTACATAATCGGTTTTTAACGTCAAAGTTGTTAATACACGTTACTGGAATTTCTAAACGGTTAAACGTCTGCGGTAACATCCGGACACATCGCGTGATCGTGCAGTGAAGCAACTTCTCATCTCGTTGTAAGGATGCTCCTTCCACTGGTAGTTTCAACCGGTTGCGTTCAAGACAGATTTATACAGATCAAGAGGCAACAGGTAGAGGTTTCATACAACGATTCTTGAAGAAAGGAAGAGATTCAGTTGGAAAGAAGAAGAAAGTAACACAAAGAAACTCTCACGGTCTATTTAAGACATTTTTCGTGGCGACGTTGTGCAATCATGAAAGTGATCCTGCTTTCGTATTTTATTCCAGTATGTTTCGTAAAATTGATAGACGCTAGAAGAATGAAAAACATTTATTTATAGCAAAATGATCATTTGTGATTCTTATAACGGCAAGTGGTGTTTGCAAAAATATCTCCACCTGAGCGACGAAGGGTGAATTCAAGTATCAATTAAAATATCTGGGATAAAAAAATTTCAAGCCAAAGTGTACCTTCGATTTCACAATTCCCTGGCCTGTTAGATCCTATCATCTATTTCAGAGTAAGAGAGATAACATCTCTGACGAAATACAGTAACCTCGATCTAGTTTCATAATTTTCATGTACTCATAATTTCATGTACTTCAAGGAGGTGTAGCGAAACTTGGTCCAAAGTAAATTAATTTCTCCCAAGTTATTTCGTTTCATAGCCACAAGTCACACAGCTGCGTATGTTCTTTAATTAACGAGATCTCGCGGCTGATGAGAAGAAAAAAAAGTAAGGCAATTGAATTTCACCTTGGCTATTAAACAGTGTGATCAATCAATGTGATCGGCAAATGACTACGTCATCGACTACAACTTGTTCACCTCCAAAACATTTTCACGCACCACGGAATGTACAAAAATGAAGGCAAAGCGTTAAAATTGATTCCTGCTCTCTGCGAATCTTGCATAAATTTTCTTTCTTTAAAATCACCTCGCCAAGTAGGCTTTAGGACAAAGATGAATGAAATATATCACTATAACAAGTTAATCTAATATTAATATTAACAGAATGGAACTGTTGTAAATACTGTATTGTAAGAAGAATTTTAATTTCAGGTAAAAGTATATTAAAACTCTTTCTGCGTTTGCACTGAAGAAGTTCCAGACCCTCGTTAACAAAGTGAAAGAAATGAAACCTAAATGGGAATGGAAATTCGTTTCGTTTACTAGTGAACACTTTATTAACTTCAGTGGCAAACACCTTACTTCAGTATTTATGCGAGTATTCCTTTCAGAGTTTTCTTATTCCATAAACCATCTATTCCTTCAAAATCATCAAATCTCCTTGTTTCGTCGAAGAAGAAGAAGAAGAAAAGAAAAAAAACACGATACCTTCATCCTGATCGATTCACCAGGTAAATCGTGACGCGACATCCCGCAGGAGCACCGGATATCCGACCAGAAGGCTGACACTGATTCTCGACGAACTGAAACGCGCGGAGGACCTCGAGTTTATAACACTGTGACATCTATGGCAACGATCGCGACAGGTACGTCACCTTCACGTGCATCGAACTCCCTACTGACCCACGTTCAACTGCGTGCACGCTGACAGAAAGGTGATCGAAGTAGGGATCGCGAACCTAAACTCGATCGGGACGGGGGGGAGGAGAATGGCTGCTTCTTTTCTATCTCTTCTCTGTCCCTTTTCTCGCTCCTTCTTCTTCTTGGATTTTTAATTACCAATTTCTAACAGATATATTAATTTCGAGTCTCTTGAATAATATTCGAAATGTCATTCTCGTCGTGTACAGAGTACATTTCGTTCTCACGACTCTTTGCTGTAGTTTTTCATCGTCGCAAAAAAATTGGACAAAATGACCATGCAGTGAATGAGACGAATAAAGTCTCTTAAACTTCGATTTTTAAACCATTTTTAAATGGTAGAAATATATATACATATAAAACGTGTTTTTCTGTATCATTTGTAGATTCAAGAAGAGTAAGATTCAAGAAGGATTTGAGGTTAGAAGGATAAACGAGACAAAGAAATAAAGTCCACGAATTGAGGACAAATACTTAACGAATCCTGCTTGATTGCGTCAAGCTTCTCCTTGCATCAAGGATAAATGTAAATTGCACAGGCTGTCGTAGTCATAGTTGAACACGAAAGAGGAAGTCGAAACAAATGAATTTCCTGCCAAACGGTTTCTCTATCATTTTTCGCAGATTAATTGTCATGGCGCGAAAGGCCTTACACTTTCTCCTGTCCGAGTGTTTCTTGGAAATTTGTTACACAGTCGAAAATGTGGAATAAAGTTAAGAGAGATATTGTTTTACAAAAAACTCGAAAGACTCGAAGGCTGAAGAGTCTTTAACATTTGAACAATGAAATGCACAATTTTATATCGTGAATCTTCAGATTTGCTGAATTTCAACTGCAACGTGCAACTTGAAATTCGTGTGTTTGAACGACCTTCGACGGTAGTTAAGGGACAAGAACATCTGTGCAGGTGAAAGTGAACCGTGAACCAGCTGTATCTGCCGGAAACTGGTTAACTCCGATTGCAATTACATGGTAAAAAGTTCTTTCGTATTGTCCATATGCGTGTCAAGTAAAATTTAATTTTATTAAAAATAAAAATTAGACTTTTTATGAAAAGTCTAATTCTGATATAATTGCGCGAATAGAAAAGAGGAATAAAGATGAAACGTGAATAAAGATTTGAAAGAAATCAAATGAAAATAGTATATACATATATACATCTACCTTAAGAGCATAAATATTTTTATAAATTTTCTGTGAATTTTATCAGATATCGTGATCGAAAGATTCCTTTCAATTCGTCACAAAGTACCGAGTTTATCACCATCATTGTACAGGGTGTAATAAGTCAACGTGGTACAAATTATCCTGTGACTCAAAATAAGGTGAATCAAGAATGACAAAATTGCGTTGGGAGTTTCGTTTTCGAGAAAAATGCATTTGAAAATTAGTCGAGTACTGAACTGACAATCGTTTTTATAAATCTCACTGCATATTGTTGCATTCGATACGATTTTAGGATTTGTTTGATATTATTATCTATCTGTCAACACGTTGTTAGAACAAACTAAAATAAGGTACTAGTAATCTAGATAAGAAAGTGACAAGTAGACATTATGTCTTTAGTTTTAATTGTGTTTAGCTAATTTATTAATTAATAATTTGTACCATGATTCACAGGATACCCTGTATAAAACTAATCACACTTCCAACTTTAATAACAATAGAAAAGGAAACTTAAATCAATCATCTGATTCGTCAATGTTTTTTATTTCTGCATCTTCATAGAACGTTAATTTACTACAATGATTTAATTTACAGTCAATAAATTTCCTCGTTCAAGTATTCACCCATTGTTTGTTATTGTTATTAAGCTGACGAATTGTCATTTCATTCTTCAAATAAAACTTCATTCACCTTTACTGTTAGCTATTTTAAAATACCACGTACAAGTTAAATACAATATTAAAATATCTTATAATATAATAAATTATATTAAATTATAATAAATTATATAATATTGTATTAAAATATTGAAATACTATGTTAATATTGAATTATAATGAATCATATAATACTATATTAAAATATTGAATTATAATGAATTATATAATATTGTGTTAAAATATTGAATTATGATAAATCATATAATACTATGCTAAAATATTGAATTATAATGAATCATATAATAGTATATGAATCATTATAAATCATATAATATACTAGTAATGAATCATATAATACTATGTTAAAATATTGAATTATAATGAATCATATAATAGTATGTGAATCATTATGAATCATATAATACTAGTAATGAATCATATAATACTATGTTAAAATTTGATTAACTTTTATTTATTATATTGCAGTTACTCACTGACAGAGTAAAGGAGAACAAACACTAAATTTCACGCCTCTGGAAATATGACATTTTCCCAGATTTAAGCTTCTGGTTATTGAGAATCAATAATAAGATTTCTGTATCCTCATTGCGAATAGTTGACTGGCAAAGCTTAACAGAGTAGCAAAATTCGAATTCTCGAGGGAAGAGACATTTCACTAGTAGGCGTATAACATATAACTGGTACAACGATTCATTACCATTGATTGTACACATTTGCGTTCGAGTGTCGTTGGTTGTTGACTTCTTCTATTGAAATGTTTTCCTCGCCGTGTAAGTAGGGGAATTCCATACACGGGTAGAATGAACGGTCAAGGATTCCTCAGACGACCGGTTAAAGCATCCTCTATGCTTTTCATGCTTGGAAATGCGAACATCTTTGGAATTTAATAATAACACATTCCGCGTTGCAATGTGCATTGTATTGTCCTCAACCTACAACCGAATGTTTCTACTCGAGTCGCCGAATAAAAGGCGACTTTTGAAGTAAATTATGAAACGTGGAAATTAAGTTCTTTCGTTGTAAACTCATCAACTATACGTAAAATCATCGATAATTTTTTTTGTAAATGAAATAATTTACGACAATCAATAATTCACGACTAACTCGTTATTATTTGTACAGTTTTTGAAGGCTCGAATTGAATTTACACTTCCGTTGCACTATTCTTTTTGATTTTTCACTTACAATTGTTATTAATCGTCTGAAGGTATATACTTGTGTCTAAAATTCGAAACTTCAATCATCGAGAAATCCCTCCTCCTCTTCTTCTTCATCATCATCTTGCGTCGACGCAGGCACTTCCTCTTCCTCGTGCTTTTCAAAGCGAATTTTTAAAGAAAAAAGATAAAGAACTCGACCTTCTGTGAAAGATAATGGAATCAAGTTGCGAGTTGACGTTCACCTGCTGCAGTTTCACTCGTTCCCTCTCGATCATCAGCTCCAATTCCAGCTCCCTCCTCCTCTTCTCCCTCTCTTCGCAGATCTGAAATTTCACGAGTCGATAAAATCACTTCGCCATGGATCGTCGTGGAGAATTATTGAAATAATTCGGACGGTCCGCAACATTCGACTTTATAATTTAAGAGCCAGTGGCCGAGATATTCGACGGGATCGGATGGCTTCCTCGCGATCACTTCTCGAATAGCATGTGCCAAGGGCTTGCTGAACAGGTGTTTCAAACAGAGACTGTCCGACGATAAGCACTCGTTGGAAGACGACGATAAAGACGTGGAGGTGTCGATCTCCTGCAGACACTTTGACTCCAAATTACACAATTTTCGTAATTCTTCCGTTTCCTCGAGAGTCAAGCCCATTCCGTTTAGAAGTCTAAAATGATATATATATATATATATATATATAT